ACTTTTCCCTATGGGTAAAATTGAAGAAAAAGAAAGTTTTCCACAGATAAAGAAATTGTTTATTCTCCAGTTAATTTGTACCAACGTGACATTTAATTGGAGAAAAAGAAAGTTTTTTCGCTGCTAAAGAAAATGTTGATTCTCCAGTTATTTTGAACCAATATGGTATTTAATTGGAGAAAAAGAAATTTGACATGATTATGATGTTGTTATTTTCTGACCAACGTTGTTAATAACAATATCGTAATTTTACTGATTTATGCATTAATTCTATTTCTGCCCAACGGTGATGTAGAATTAGTGTATAAGAAAAGTTGATAATTTTAATGATTTATGCATTAATCCTACTTCTGCCCAACGGTGATGTAGAATTAGTGTGTAAGAACAGTTGTAAAAGTTAAAGTTTTATGCATTAATTCTATTTCTGCCCAACAGTGATGTAGAATTAGTGTATAAGAATAGTTGTATGTTTTGATTTTGACCAATGTTGGAATCAAGGCATGCAAATGGTGTTATTTATATGTTAAGAAAAAGTTTGACCTGGTTTTCATCTTGTCTAAGGTGGACTGGGTAGTCACCTCACCGTGTTCCATTGAGATTGTGGCACCGGTGGGGGAGACAAAAGAGAATAATGCCACTTGGGCAACTAAAGAAAGGGACTTTGAATCCCAAAAGATGTCCTATGGCTTTTGAGGATAGGAAGTGGGTCACTGCAAACAAGAAATGTTTGGCTATGATAAAGAACATGATTGAACCTGCAATTGTGGGCTCAATCCTAGAATGTGACACGGTCATCGAGTACCTCGATAGAATAAAGAGTCAGTTCACTGGCTCTTCAAAGACATATGCCACTTAGCTGATAAAGCAGCTGGTCACAGAGTTTTAATCTGGAAAAGGTGGCATAAGAGAGCTCACGATGCGTTGTCGAAATTATGGCACTATCGTTCAGGCCATATTTCGAGGGGGAGAATAGAAAGACTAGTTAAGAATGATATTCTTCCTCCATTAGAGCTCTCAGATTTAGAACAATACAGAGAATGCATAAAAGGAAAGTATGTAAAGAAGATTAAGAAAGATGACAAACGAAGCGCAGAAATTTTATAGATTATTCACACAGACATCTGTGGTCAACTTTCCTATAAAGAGTGTGGATGGTTATGATCCGTTCATAACATTCACAAATGATTACTCCCATTATGGCTATATTTATCCAATCAAAGAAAGAAAAGATGTATTGGATAAATTTAAGATATTAAAGATTAAGATAGTCAGGTCTGACCATGGGAGAGTACTACGGTCGGCATACCCTAAAAGAATGGCATAGTAGCCTAGTATTCTACACGTGGCGAACCTCAGCAGAATAGAGTAGCTAAAAGAATCAATCGCACCCTGATGGATATGGTGGGCAGTATGATAAGTTACTCCACCTTACAGTTGAGCCTGTGGATGGAGGCGTTAAAACCGACATTCATATTCTCAATAGAGTACCAAGTAAGTCGGTGCCCAAAACACCATATGAGTTGTGGACAGAAAGAGTACCCTCACTAAACCACTTGCATGTGTGTGGGGGAGTCCTGCTGAGGCTAAAGTATTTAACCCAAAATAGTAAGTTGCCATTTGTTTGGCTACCCAGAAAAGTCAAAAGGTTTTCGTTTCTACTGTCCAGAGAGACATACAAAGTTTATGGAAACGAGACACGCTATCTTCCTAGAGGATGAACTGATGAGGGGGAGCATGGTAGCTCGAGAAATTGACCTTGAAGTGAAGCGGGTGTATGCGCCCACTCTAATGATTCATGAACCAATTTTCTCACTACCTGTTGTCGCTACACCGATAGTGCAAGAGACTATGGTGTTAGCAACTGTTGTTATCCCACCTGTGGCAACAATGAATGACGATGAGGAACCTGTTCTTCAGGATTCTATAGAACCTATTGCCACACATGAGGGGGAGCAACAATAGCCTCAAACAGAAGATGTGCCAAATGTGAAGGCCCCTAGAAGATCTCAAAGAGTTAGAAAGTCAGCTATTCCTGCTGATTATGAAGTGTACAACACTGAGGAATTTCAAATGGAGGATGATCCCACCTCATTTGAAGAAGCTATGAGAAGTGATCATTCATCAAAGTGGCTTAAGGCCATGGAAGCTGAAATGAAATCAATGAATGCCAATAAAGTTTGGGACCTAAAAATAATTCCTAAAGGAGCCAAAACAGTAGGCTGTAAATGGGTCTACAGAACAAAACTTCACTCTCAAGGGAATATAGAAACATATAAAGCGTGACTTGTGGCAAAAGACTTTATGCAAAGAGAAGGCATTGATTACAATGAGACCTTTTCTCCAGTCTCATGTAAAGTTTCCTTCAGAATCATAATGGCATTAGTGGCACATTACGATTGAGAATTACATCAGATGGATTTAAAGATGGCATTTCACAACGAAGACTTGGAGGAAAATGTTTACATGGCACAACCGAAAGGTTTTGTCATGGAAGGAAAAGAACGAATGGGATGCCGTCTAAAGAAATCCATTTATGGATTAAAACAAGCTTCGAGACAGTGGTACTTGAAGTTTGATCAGACAATAAAGAATTTTGGGTTTTTAAGAGAATGTAGAGGACAATTGTGTCTATACAAAGTAAAGAGAAGGTAGAGGACAATTGTGTCAATACAAAGTTTAAGAATGGAAAGTTTATCTTCCTTGTCCTATTTGTAGATGATATCTTACTTGCTAGTAGTGATGTCAGTCTACTACTGGAGACAAAGAAATTTGATATGAAAGATCTTGGCGAAGCCTCGTTCGTTCTAGGGATCGAGATTCACCGAGATAGAAGAAAAAGGGTATAAGGACTGTGACAAAAGGCATACATGAAAAAGATCTTAAAGAAATTCAGTATGTACAAATGTAGTCCCTCACCTGCTCCAATAGTCAAGGGCGATAGATATGGGGATTTTCAATGCCCCAGGAACCAATATGAGCTCAATCGATAAAGTGAAAGTGGTTCCATATGCTTCAGCTGTCGAAAGCTTGCAACATGCTCAAGTATGTACGCGCCCTAACTTGGCATTTGTTACCGGGTTTTACTTGGTAGATTCCAGAGCAATTTTGGAATAGAACACTAAAATTAGTAAAGAAAGTCTTGCATTATTTGCAAGGAACGAAAGGCCTCATAATGACATATAGAAGATCTGATTCATTCCATATAGTGGGATATTCAGATTCTGATTATACGAGAGTGAATACATATCCAGACGTGGATTTTCTATCATCTCGCAAAGGGGAGCTATTTCATGGAAAAGCTCAAAGCAAACTGTCACTACATCGTCCACAATGTATGACGGTTTGTAGCGTGTTATGAGGCAACGGGCAGGTGAACTGACTAAAGAAGTTCATACCCGGTTTAAAGGTGGTTGACGACATCTATAGACCACTTAAGTTATACTGCGATTATAATCTGACAATACAGTGTGCTCACAACATAAGTCAAGTGGTGCTGCCAAACACATTGACATAGAGTATTATGTTGTAAAAGATAAAGTCCGGGATCAAGTCATAAGTCTTGAGCATATAAGTACAGAAAGGATACTCGCGGATCCGCTTGCAAAAGGCTTACCACCCAACATGTTCAGAGAACATGGTGTTCAGAGAACATGTAGCTAGCATGGGTTTAAGGGAAATCCTAAATTTCCTGGACAAAAGAAGGCCCAAAGATAAGTATCTATTTCAGAACAGAGTAGTGTGTTGTAGCTGTTAAGTCTATCGGCAATGGACTGTGACGATGAGACATGCTCTATGCGCTAATCTGTAATGGAATGAACAAAAGTAAATGATATGAAATTGAAAGATAGAATGAGATCAAGGGGGAGAATGTTAGTTGATCTCCACCAATAGGCCCAACGGCCTATTGGGCCCTTGTCTCTGCACCCTGATCGGGGGCGCCCAACCCTAACTGGTTGGTGGGCCCCCTGTCGCACAGCACATATATATAGAGGAGTGGGGAACTGGGCTCAGTTGACGAGGTTGACCGGAGCCGCCACACCCACCTACAGAGAAATCCTAATCCGATCCTAAAGAAGTGCTGCCAGTGACGGGATGTGCCCCACCAACCTCCGCCGTCGCCCCTGCAGTGTCACTGCCACCACCACTGTACCTCGCCACCGAGCCGGAGCTGCCTCGCCACCGGTGTCCGCGAGGTCACGACGCTACTGTCTCAGGGCGACTAGAGGAACTCTAGTGGAAGAGGTCGTCCCTGGATCTACGGTTACACACACAGAGGTACACATTTAATTCTAACACACTCTTCTTGTCGACCAGGGACGGAGGGAGTTGGGACCAGGGGGGCCAACCCCCCCTAATACTCTAGTTGCAACAGGAGACTACCTGTGATAAATAAGTCGCCGTAAATGAACTTGGCACCTTTCTGCCACCAGCTACAGCCACAGCCTATCCCTTTTGTTGATTTTCTGGCTCCGTCCCTGTCGTCGACCAAGCATTTGAGTTTGGGCTAGTTGTGGTCGGTGGGTTTAGGATGAGGCTTCTGGGAGGTAAGCCGGTTAGGCGGAGGAGGCGGACGCAGGGGTGACGAAGCTGCTGTGAGGGGGGGGGGACCGCTGGGGCGGAGGAGTGAGCATCATGGATTGTGGGTTAAGTCGAAGAAGAAAGACTGAGATGGAAGAAGAACAATATAACTTAAGCTAGGAACAGTTCGATTAAGATCCCACGGTGGTTGTTCACCGCTCGGGAAAAAAACTAAAAAAACAGGTTAGCAATTCCCATAGTTGAGTTCTTTTGCAAACGCATGGATGAGTTGTATTAATTCTTACATACTTCTTATTTCATATATATGTACATGTTTGCTTGAAAACGCATAGATGTCCTTGAAAACGCTAGATTGACAGCACTGTTTATTTATTTAATGATGAAAAATAAGTTTCATGCACGCCTCAACGTACATGCATGCTTCTACGTACGTGCAGGTTTTTGAGGAGGTGAGGAGGCTGATGGAGTTGCACAAGGACGTAGTGACGAGCATCACCGTCGTCGGCCACAGCCTCGGCGCTGCGCTTGCTACCCTGAACGCCGTCGACATCGCCGCCAACGGCCTGAACGCCCCCGCCAGCACCAGATCCTCTCAGCCGCCGTGCCCGGTGACGACCATCGTGTTCGCGTGCCCGCACGTCGGGGACCGTTTCTTCAAGGCAGCCTTGGGCTCCTTCCGGGACCTGAGGGCCCTCCACGTGAAGAACGCCGGCGACGTCGTGCCGGTGGTCCCGCCGCTCACGTACGTGGACGTGGCCGTGGTGCTGCCCATCGACACAGGCCGGTCGCCGTACCTGCGGCCGACGGGCACGCCGCAGACGCTCCACAACCTCGAGTGCTACCTGCACGGCGTCGCTGGCGAGCAGGGCAGCGCCGGAGGGTTCAGGCTGGAGGTGGACTGCGACGTGGCGCTGGTGAGCAAGGGCGCCGACGCGGTCAGAGATGAGTACCCGGTGCCGGTGAACTGGTGGGTGCCCGAGAACAAGTGGATGGTCAGGGGTGCCGACGGCCACTGGATGCTCAAGAACTTCGAGGAAATCTAATTGTATAGACGCCCAGCTTAACTACAGAAAATGAACACATAACAAACTTATAAATCACAGTTTCCACATAATAAACTTAATTATAAATCATCGTAAATCCTGAGCAATTTGGGTACTGTTATTCACGCATTCTGTATGACAGTATATATGAGCATACTGCATATATATGTTTGTATTCACGAGAGGCATTTCAAACTTGACTAGCTAGATTTGCTTGAAGTCCTGGAGCGTCCAGTGGCCGTCGGCGCCGCGGACCATGCCCTTGTGCTGAGCAGACCACCACTCCGCCGGCACCGGGTACTCTCCCTGAGCGCGTCGACGCGCTTGTTCACCAGCGCCACGTCGCGGTCCACCTCCAGCCTGAACCCTCCGGCGCTGCCCTGCTAAATCTTCTTTGCACAACAGCGCCATCTAACTAGGCTGCAAAGTCTTGTTCTAAAAAGTTTTTAATTTCTATTTCATTTGTTCCAAACGTTCCACCAAAGTAGATCATAATGCCGTCGAACGCCCTTCTTTGATCTTTATCAAACCTTGACCAACACTTGCGCCAGTAACTGTGGAGATCCCGCCATTTCCACCGTATCAATCAACGATAATCCTAGATGGCGGGGGAAACCGTGGCGGCCGGTGGTGCCGCGGCCAGGTGACGGATGTGGCGGCGGCGGGGAGGCGCTCACGGCTCGGGCGTCGAATGAGAAGGTGGAGAGAGAGAAAAGAAAACTGGGTCGTGCCGGCCAACCCTGCAGCCTGTCATGCCTATGCATGTAATGCGACAGCGTGGTGCTGTCGCGCTAGCCGCGCTGGCGCGACAAAAGCAGCTATATTTGATTAATCTTTTTTTGTTGCGGTTATTATTAGAATATTGATTAAAAAAGGATTAAAATATAAAAAAAATCATTTTATAGTGAGTAGCACTTGGTTTGGGGACGCAGGCAGCCGCTCGGTGCCCGGAATAGAAGCATTTCCGGCATCTGGGAGGAGAGTTGCCGTTTGAAAAGTAAAGTCGGGACGGAAAAAACTCTCATGTCCAGGTACTTAAGAGGAGGTGGACGAAAAAATAGATGAAGAGAAATTTTACCTCTTTATAAATAATAAATAGGTGTAGATATCTTAGAACCCAATATACGTTGTACGGGTGTCCTTCCTCTCATCGAGAGAACTACTCGAGATCATATATCTAACTTATTTTAATCTTATAGAAATGTTTAAAAATGTGCGCAACATTTCTTTTGACGAGTTAGTTTGAATGGAATACTCGAAAAATTTGGGTATGTACCTTAACGAAGCGTCCATAGAGAAGCAGCTAATGAGAAATCAAAAGAGATCACTCACGTCCAGTACGTATCTCCTGTCCGATTAGACATAGTAGTATAGTACAGTATATTATTTGAATGTTTTGCCTGCTCCCTGTATCATAAACGGCGCAGATCGCGCCGAACTCTCCGCCCACCAGGAAGCAAATCTGTGTTTAGATCTCAGCGCTTAACGCCGATGTATGACGGATGGTGTTGGATGACACCGTGCGGAGCTCCAGTGGTGACATGCCACGTTGGCATTGACCTGGCATGTTTCGGCGTAACCTGACATGACGCCGATTCGAAGATCTGAGCGTTTTATTATTTAACGCCGTTGAAAAAAAAAGTTGAGAGGAGTCTATTTTAATAAATTGTTTTCAAAAGGGCTAAAATGCAAAATTTTCACCACTTTTGTAGGATGAAAATTCAGAGATCCTACTCAAATATGTACTAAATCTGTTCCAAATTAATGTTTATAGTTCGTTTGACTTTTTTATCCAAAGTTTGACCACTCGTTTTATTTAAAAATTGATGCTAAATATCATTTCTTTTGTTGTGGCTTGCTTTATTAACAAAAGTTCTTCAAGAACGACTTAAATTTGATTATGTATGCACAAATTTTTTTGAATAAAACGAGCGGTCAAACTTATGGTAAAAAAAGTTAAACGAATTATAATTTGGAACGGAGAGAGTATTGTTTAAAACTCTTCTCTGTGGGTGTAGGCTTTACGTCTAAATATAGCAAGATGGGCACATTCATGTACTCACAGAGAAGAGTAATTTGGTATTTCTTTTCCTAGTCTATATACTCTGCTGTTAATATATGAATATACATGAGCTTTTTTTTAAAAAAAAAAAAGTTCGGCTCTGCAACAGCCTTGCCATACTGTTCTCCGTTGGTTAGCTGAAGCTCAGCTAGGTTGATTTGCTTCACCAGAAACATTTTTTGATTTCCAGTTCAACAGTGGCTGGTTCTTGAACTTGTTTATTGCATAGTACAGTGACCCTATATATTTGTTGTGTTCTTGCCTCGGCAGCAGCAGAACATTTTTCCCTCTGGTGGTCAGCGACAGCGGCAGGTTTTTGTTGCTCTGCTTGGTTCTTTCAGATAGCAGCAGGGCGCCAACAGGTTAAGAGACAATGATGGTTAATATGCCTATTAACTTTAGACTATTCCAATGCTGAACATTTTTAGTTCTTTGCCTCCTGATCTTCCTGTGCTAGGAATTTATTAGCTTAATTCTTCTTTGCACAGCACTCTGTTTTCCTGTCTCGATTAAGTATGTAGAGCATGTTTCACCTACCAGCAGCTGCACATGCATGATGCCTTTTTGCTTGAGCCTTTTGTTCAAGGGTGTATGTGAGCCTTGTGAGGAGCATGCATTGATTACTTGACAATTTTACATGCTGCTTGCACGCTCATCTTTGTAGTTCCAGCTTGGCTTAAAAAAAATGAGATCCAACATTGGAGTAACTAGGTGGTTTTTCATTAAGAAGAAAAATAGGAACCTAAATTCAGTCCAAGACAAGATTTAAACCTGGGTGGTTGGGTGCATTCCCACATCTCTCACCCAACCAGTTGAGCTAGGCTCACTTCATACTTGTATGAATCAATGTTGGTCATCATATCTAGCTTGCATTGTAACACATCTAGTGTTACGAGCTTGTTTAGCATTTAGGTTAAGGTCAACAAAAAAAAACAATTTATATAAACAAAAATAAAATATAACTTGTGTATAGTGCTTATGTACAAATGATGAGCAAATAGTGTAGATAAGAATGCAACTTTAGGTTTGGAAAGAGAATAGTGTTAACCAGTGTTTTGGGAGCTCAAACATCGAATCCAAAAATTAAACTAGAATTTTCCGTTGAATCGACAAGAAATTAAACTTAGCTTACGAACATCATTTTTGGTGAATTATATTGAGCAAAATAGTTAAAGGTGCTTAAATGTTTTGCTCCTGTGGGTTAGTGTGTAGTATGGGCTATTGAGTGAAATACTCATTGGTTGAAATTAATAAGGTTTAGACATATTAAAAATTACAACAAAATACTAATGGTTGTTAGTTTTAACCGAACCTTGCCCTCTTCTAAGTCTGGAAATGATAGTAGACAATGCCATTTTTGACACTCAAATTCTAACCAAATTATTTAAACACTAACTTCATGTTCTCGTATTGTTGGTTGCCTCTAAGTGAGTACTTTCGCATGGTGTAGTCCACGGTTGAGTTGGAGTTGTCATGGCATAGCAAAAATTGCCCTAACATCCTAAGAACGCGTTGTGGCCACACTGTTGGCGCTCCATTCATGGGCCAGCGCTCAGCGTGACGAACCCACGTTGGCACCTCTCTATCTTCGTCGCTGGTCACCCTCCGGCCGTGCTTGTTGCCTGGATACGAAGCCCTTAGGGTCTACTAGAGTCTTGAGCTTTTGTTTTAATCTCAACCGAGCTCTAATCGGTTGATTTTCACGCTTTAAGATCTATGCATGACATCGCCTCGGGCTGGCTGGCCGGGTGTGCGTGGTCACCGCACTCGGGGTGCGATGTCGCGCATTGGTGCATCCACCGTCGCACGCGCACACCACATCGCGCGTGGCCTTGCCGGTGGTCGTCTCATCGCCGCCCCGTGCTACGCGTCGGGCCGAGCCAACCACGACCACCGTTGTCGAGCCGGCCGAGCTGTGCCTAGGCCTCGCGTGCGCACGAGCACTGTGCCGCCGCACTGCTCCGGTGACGCTACTGCGTGACTGCGCTGCGAGGCGTTGTCATGATGCCGTTTTCGTTTGTTCCCCGCTACCGCCCGTGCACGCGCCACCTTGAATGCTGAGCCACATGCGGGGTCAAGCCGAGGCTATGGCCATCATTGCCATGCTCGCGTGGCAGTCGCCCCGCCCTACGATTCACCTACCATAGGCCTGTGTCGTTGCCCGCCATGTCTGGATCAACCGACCCAGGCACAGGGTGACGGTGATGCCTCTCTGCTCGCTCTGTCCTGCTAGCCGACGCCGGTGACCCCGCTTCGGCCCGGCTACTGCGTTTTAGTGCTCCGCGTGCTGGCACCCCTCTTGGCTCTGTCCAAGCACTAACTGACGCGCCTCCTGCCCTCGCTCGTGTGGCCCTATCCTTGCGTTGTCGTACCCTGTCGGGTCGTGGCCAGGTCACTCTATCGTGGTCGCTTCACGTGATGTAGTAGTGGCGATGCACCGCTCTCTCTCCCCCTTCATAATCACCAGCTCAAGACTTCTCAGCCCAATTCCTTGTGCCAGTGAGTAGCATGGGGAGTTAACTAGATGCCTCATTCTCGTCAGGTCCAGATTTGGTCTGGCTGCGGCCAATATTGGGTTTTGCCCGTCGCCGGCCATGAGCGCCGCCGCAGCCAGTGGGTTGGGGGTAAGTCCCAATCCGTGGGGGGAGAACCTAATTGGTGGTGTTTCTGGACTTGTGTTGATCTCCTCTAGCTGGTGCTCGTGTCAGGTTGGCCCGGGTTTTCGCCGTGGGTGTAATGACGCGCCGGTGCCGCGCTCAGAGCGCCGCCGCGCGGTGCGGGCGCACGTGGTCGGACCATCTCAGCACTTTCTGGTTTCAACCATCACCGTAGCTCGGTGCTCGGTGAGTTTCTGGTGCTTCCCTGCCATCTCTACCTCTTCGTTAGTGCCCTAGGTCGTCGGAACGGCCGTGCCGTCGCCGCGAATAGCTGCTCGTCG